TGCCCTTGGCCGAACACACGAACTGCCGATATTCGAGTCTAACTTGCGTTCGGCTCGAACATCGAGCCCAACCCTACTCTCTAGTAGTCACTAAATCAAATCCAACAGTTTTAACCTCAGGAACGTTAACATGCCAGGCCTTTATGCCAGTGGCTGGCTCCCAGAGTGCCCACAAATGCAAATTAGTTTCTTCAGTAACCCTATGTAGTAACCCTAGTCTCTACAATTTTTTTTTTTTTTTTGCCTTTATTCTAGCGTCAGTCAATGCTGAATCAATTTGTGCTGCAGGAAGTTTACTCATCTTTTGTTTTAAACATTCATTGGAGTCTCTCTACTGTATTTCATAAAAAAAAAGCAAAGCAGAAGAAATGATGCAAAGGAACCTCACTTTTATGTTTTTTTTTAGAGGTGGAGAGCACTATATTGGCCAACAAAAAGGCTGAAAATGTTCTTGCTCCAATATCTATCCATTTACACAGAGAATTTTTGGAAGTGCACTTTTATGTTTTGTATGTCTTTAAAACTTGTGGGGTTTTTTATACGCAAAAATGATCAATAGAATAAAAATGCTAGTTTATAAAACTGTAAGGCGATTATTAATAAATGAATACTTTTTCAGCATCTACAAAGGTACAACCACTCCTTAATGTTTTGATATTCTTTAAGCTTCTTCTCAGATCACTGATCCTTCAGCCATGGGATTCATTACTATGTCTAGCAGGCAGAGCTGTCCAATTTCCTTCTGGTGTAGTAGCATGTGGTTATGGAAAGCTGTATACTATTGTTAGTAATGTGATGTGTTCAAGATGGTAGTTCTTACAGAAGCCTAGATATAACTTAATGTATACCCCAGGGGCACTATTCATAAGATAATGGGGGCGCCTCAGCCTGTGGTTCTGGCACTGATATTGAAAGCATTACAACGGTATTATTAGCACACGTACTAGAGAATAATATATCATTATGTGTTTTATGTCTTGTCCATGTCAATCTAAATAGTTATATAAATAACAGCGAGCTAGTGCCAAATAACTCACAGCCAGCCCCACTGTGGAGCAAAGGTATGTAAATTGTAGTACTCACACAGCAAAAAAGGAGAGCTTTATAAATGCTGCAGGGGCAACATGCCAATGTGTGAATTTCACAAATAATGTGTTCTAAAAGGCAATATCATTCTATTGCAATTTTGTTTAGAAACACAAATGTCATGGTTCAGAATGTGGTTTACCTAACTGCTCTCATTTATCAAAGACAGAAGAAATGCCGCTGTTCTTCCCTTCTTTTTGAAGTTCAATTGAGAATCTGACTGGTTAAAATGGGAACCACAGGCCTTTAATTCAGTCATTCTGCCAAATGTTATTTCTGGTTACCTGTATGATGACAGGGTCACAGATATCCAGGGCTAGATTTTTATCACTGTGGCCTGTAGGCACACAGCCTCTGCCTCTCAAAGTAACACCCCTCTTCTAAAATCATCGCTGTTATAAAGAAATAGGTCCACCTAATCTGGCTTAGAATATTGTGATAAGGTGCAATTAAAGTGATAAGAATTGACTATGGCTTTATTGATGATGAGGGTGAAAATAAAGTTTGACCTAAAACTCTAAAACGTATACAGGGAAGAGCCACTTATTTGCCTCTGGGTCCTATTGCCACAACCTATTGTGCCTAATGGTAAATTCAATGTCTATTAGAAAATTATAGTTTTCTGGAAAAAGGGTTCTAACCTGCATTTTATTAGTCTTAGCTGCATTTAATAAGACATCTTTCTATCTGTGCTTCACACTACAATATTCTAACATGTACCTGAAATGTCTATGGTATATTCTGAATCTGCAATTGAGCTCAGGTAGTGATTTCTATTTGTAAGTGGAAATATCCCATCACAGTTGGAACTATAGTAAAGGATGCCCACAGAGTGGCAACATCATATAATTGCTTTATTTTCAAGTCAGAGGGTCAGCTTAATGTTTTTATATTTAGCCATATGCATGTATGCACCAAATCTGTTCAATAAGAGTCAGATTTTGAGTGACTATTTCTTAGGGTGCATGGCAAGCTGTATATTCCTGCGCTGCTGCAGAAGCAGTGAAAAATTTGAAACTTTTGCAGCAACAACACAAGTATGTGTGCACAAAAATCCGACAGTCCATTTGTACTTTTTATAAATGATGCTTAATGAGACTACTGGTAAGTACAATATGACAATGAAAACACTATAGCATTGCGCTCAAGCCATTTACTTTACTATGAGAAGCTGCAACAGCTTCTGATCCAGAAATAATGCAATTACACACATGAGTGCGGTGCCTGTGGCAACAATGATATATATACTTATAATCACACACCATGCCAATGGTAAAATGGTCATCACTTTTTATCTGGTGGCAGTTAAGAGTGCTATTGAATTGCTCTGAGGTCTGCAGTGTGGATATTTATTTAAAAATGTCTAAGACTAAAATAGATACTAGGAAACACATTGGACAGTGGTTAGTATTCCCATAGAAAAGCTCTGGCAAGGATATGATCCATATTGATTTGCAGGTATTGTTCTGGAAATTGTGTGATGTGGTCAGGAAACTCGCTAAGACAGACAGCTAAAGAATTGATGGAGCTGTTTTGTGGTTCTTCTTGTCCATATGTCAGTTTCGCTAAAATGGTTGTCTGTTTCAAAGATCCTGGCAGTAAGGATATTTGACTTTATGTTTACTAAAGCTGCTTTTGAAGTGGGTGGAAAGAGTTGAAAGATTTTTAGCCAACCAGATCATAGTTTTTTGGACAGTCTAAAGAAAGCATGTTCATAAAACAGGATTCTAATTATATCGGGGATCAGAGTACTGTGCTTGTTAAATGGATACATTGGAAATTGGCCCACCGAAATCATTTTTGGGTATTTTCTTTAAGGACATTACAAGATTTCATTTAGTTTTAATAAAAAGCCTGCTCAGTTTTTTTTTTAATTATAGGCTGACAAGTTAAAAATGTAATATACACTGAGTGGCCAGATTATTATGACCACCTGATGTTTGTAGGCAAATTAGCTATAATTTCGCGCTGAAGTTGCTAGAGGGCAAGACCATTATAAATAGGGAAGCAGGTTGTTTACCACGACAGTAGTAGTGATTTTTTTTCTGAAGATATGGGTAAACAATGCGATTTAACAGCCTTTGAACGTGGGATGTTGGCGCTCGGAGCCATGGAGCGAGTATCAGCAAAACAGCAGAACTCGTTAAATGTTCAAGAGCAGCTGTTGTTAAAGTGTTTAAAGACTGGACTGTCAGCCGAAAATCTGGGTCTGAACGTGCGAATCGTGGCCCAACGAAGTACTGATGGGGTGGTCATAATAATCTGGCCACTGAGCGTATATAAATATATATATTATGAATGTATTATTTTTTTAAAATACTATAATTGCATCATACAAATGACAGTTTAAACAGGCGCACTGCTATCTACAGGCTGGAATTGCCTCTTCAAGCTGAAAGCATTATTTATTGAATTAAGGCTTCAGCTTGTTTGTGAATGCTATGTCATAGCGATCACATGATCGGGAACCATTCTGCTTGATTCCCAATCAATAGCTGGGCCTGAGGGCAGGTACACACCATTTTCTTTACCAGATCTGGAACGCAGTGCATTACGTTTTGCAGAGTTTTTACTGCGATCTTACCGCGCTTCGGATCTTGTTTTTTACCTTAAAATGGGCTTTCAGGTGCGTTCCAGTGCGTTTTTGATGCATTTCCTTGCGTTCCAGACCAGACAAAATGAGACATGCAGTATTTTTCTGGTCTGGTACGGACTGCGCTGGTGTGAACAGAGGCCAGAAATAGCATACATCAGGATGCATTTTGGGTCCGGAAACAATCTGGTCTGGTCTAGAGATTATCTGGATGTGGTGTGAATGGGCCCTGTAGCTGTCAAAGCATGCTTTGATGGCTAGTCTTCTAGCACAGTGTCAGCTGGTAAGTGTCAACAGGATGAGATATATAAATGCATCTTCAGCATGTGACATCTTTCTGAGGAACATTACTACACCGGTAGCTGGAGGAAAGAAGTTAAAATTGTACTTAAGCACATATAAATAAAATACAAATTATTGCAGAAATGTGTTACTTAAACATTTTTTCATGATTTTTCTTTAAACCTGCAACTAGTGATTTTGATTTGGTATCACTCAGACTAGAAGAGAGCAGAGACTATAAGGCAGCACAAGACGCTATATAGTTTTGCTGCAGTGCACATGAGCTGGGAAGGAAAATTCCGACAGGAGAAAAGAACAGAATGAGCAGAAGGATTATTCATCACTGTCCAGTCACAAGATGAAACTTGGAGAAGTCCTACCTGTATTGCTTAACTGCAGAAGGGAAATGTCAGATCAGCAGCTTGGCTGTGCTGTCCGGTAAGACGGTGTATATCTTAGGATAAGATGGAAAGCCTTTTACAAGTAAAACAGGCTTCTTTATATGCATTTCAACATTATATTTAGCTGCTTACATGGAGTTTAGTCTAAAATATTGTTTTACAAACATAAAAGTGGCCTGCTAAAATGTTTTTCCCTGGCTCACTTAGGGCTCTTGCACATGGCCTGCTCCCTCACCGTAAATGCTGGTGTATTCTCACTGGCAGAGAGCCCCAGGTGCAGCATACAGCCTTACATTAAAGTCACCGGCACTGTGTAAACCCGCAAATGTATATGGATGTAAAGTCTCCGACGCACCCAGTGTGCTTCCAAACTTTTACGTCCATGTGCAGCACAGGTTTATGGAGTGCCGGCATGTACCTGCCTACAACAACATAAAGCCATTGATTTTAGTGTGAGGCTGTATGCTGCACCTGGTGTTCTTTGCCAGCAGGAATTTGCTGGCATTTACAGTGTACCAAAACCAGTGCCTGTGTGCAAGAGCCCTTATGCTTTTAGTTTACCCTGCCAGGAGGGTGTTAAAATGAAAAACAACATTGCAACTTTTTCCAAAATATGTTTTACATATTTATTGAACTGAGGAACTTCAGGGCTTTCACATAAAAACACCTTTTCTTCTCTTCCAAAACTCTCCTATTCCATGTGATATTGCATATTCAGCTGTGGATTTGCACTCCAATGGAGTGAAACCAACAAGGGCAGTTCCTGCTGTGTTGATGCCATATTGCAGAGCCAACTGTTGAATCTCAGCTTCGATATATTGAGGAGATACCTGTGAAAACTTTTCTCCACAAATATGATAAGATATATATTTATTAGCTTCTGAGGAAGAAGTGGACTCCTCAATATCTCTGAAACTCTCCACATTACAGGCTATTTCTACATGGCCACTGTTTGGGAAAGCCATTGCTTGCACTCCCTTAAGTCCTCCAGACCGACCACGGATGGCAGTTGCTATAGCTCTTCCTGAAGTCAGGTCCTGTGTGTCGAGAGTGACGTTGCAGTTCATCACATAAGGGCTGGCACCAACACCTAGGACAGGGAACACAGTGGTAAAAATCGGGGACAAAGAAATATGTTCTATTTAAGAAGCGGATATATTATTTTAAAATTATGAAATGAATGTAACATTATTCAAAATTGCATTGCAAAAATATTATGCACAATGTTTTTGACTGCAGGAGTTGCTTGAATATACAGTTTGCGAAAACCAGTGGTCATATATCGGATTCTGGCTTTATAGGACCATTATATGAACTATAAATATCAGCAGACTCTTGGAATAATTCACAAAAGGCTTTATAGTTGGAATAAGGACAAGTGTGGTATTCTACCTAAGCCTTAGCGGCTTGTTATAATGCACCAAACTACAGCTGCCACCAAGCCAAATGCAAAGTTATGCAGGAGTTGCTAAACCACTAACTTTGGAACAACATAGGTTGCTTACATCTACATAACACTATTGGGAGTTATATTGTGAGGCCACTAACAAATATGAGGATAAAGCTGTGATAACCACAAGCTAATAAATTGTTACTCATTGTTGAACAATGGTTGATAATTGAATCACCAAGCTATGATTTTTTATACCATGGGAAACCAGCTGGTGTTGTGATTAAAAAAAGAAATACATTTCTCCATTGGGGTTGAAGTGATAAGTTAGACTATGTCTAGTATTTATATATGTATATACTATATTTAGACATTTCTGTGGAGAAAATAAGATGTAATTTATATAGTGGGTCCTCTACGATCAAGTTTGAATGTTCTTAGTGTTTTTGCAATCTGAATAAAGTAGGCATAGTCATCCATCAGGACAGGACAGGTCCAGAAATGCTATGGCTGTATAATAGTACTTTAGCGGTTAAAGAGTTGAGTCCTGCACAGGATAATCAAAATAGATGTTGATACCAAAAACAAAGACTGCAGACCCAAATGATGATGTAAAGGTAGCAAGATTCTGCATTTTCAGGTACTCTTTTCAATACTGTAAACAGAGAGTTGCCGTCTTCAGCAACCATTTTATGTCTTGTAAACAGATGCCACCTCTAATTCCAATGCATTGTGAAAGACACCTTGGGCTTGGCCTATTTTCGTCAGCTTAGCCATACACCGTATTGGGTTCAATGTCTTCAAACTTTTTTTATAAAGAAAATAATCTTACGTTCTACAATATTTTTAATGCATTTTGTTATGTGAGCTTTTGACAGAGAATGGGTTAAGCACTTAGACAAATAATAATTAGTTCTGAATGCTTTAAGCATTTTTGTTTACAAATGTTTATACCAAAACAGCCCCGGTATGGTTCGTTATGCTATTAACATCCATGTTGAGGATGTTTGTGGTACAGATTATTATTGAAGTCATATACACAGAATCAGAGGAAGACAAAACAAAAATGAAGAACACAACCAGAAACAGAAGGCTGGGAGTGGGGCCCAGAGACATACAAATAGGCTGTTTTTATTGTCCCCTCATAACACACTCTCCCACTATCAAAATCAATTGTACATCAGGGGTGAATAATTAAAAGAATAAGCACGTTTCTATTCATGAAAGATGATGAGATTGGCTCCACATGTATCCGCGTCTTCTGTACCACCACACAGGAAGGATATGAGTTTATTTATAGTTGGGAGGGGGAGAGCAGCTATTTTTGACTAAGAATAGGGGAAATCATTAGGACATGTCAAGGACTATTCATAGTCAAAGGTCACTGGTTCTGGTAAACATCTATCCAACCAATATTTTGGTTAAATATTTATCCTATAAGTAAAGGCAGTATAACCTTGAGCGTCTACCTCAGGCCCCGGTAGTAGACTTCGCTCTCTTCTCATAATTTCTGTTATATAACACAATCCTGCTTCAACTACCTTCTCAGTACCTGAATAATCATCCTGATATTTCTCTTCAAGTTACCAACTTCACATTACAGAGATGCTGAATCTCCGAACATGGGGACTGTCCCTATGAGAGGTTCATCGCATGGCAGAGGATTCTGAATACTGGAACAACTTAGCAATATTTTACATGGTGTACCTCATTTTCCCCAAAGGCTCGGTCACTGGTGTGGCTGGAGCCATCCATGTTGCCATGTAACTGCATGTAACTAGGAGCTATCAAAACCATTGCTGGTTATACACACCATTACTTTTGATAGTCCTGAATTTCCTTCTAGCATTATGCAGGCTGTAAACATGTAACCAGGTAATGAGAAAAAAGAGGCTGGAAGATAAAATGGAAATCACATGAAAATTTCCAACAAGGCCAACCAATTGTATCCATAATGTTTGTAGTATATTAGTATGCAACAGCCATACTTGATACACACACACTGCTTAATTAAACAACTGTTGCAGTGATCGTACTGTGTGTTTGTTGCTGCTAAAATTCTGTACTGAAAGGGGTTACCTATCAGCTGCACATGCAGTATTACTGCTCAGATATAAACCATATGATGCCTGTACTACAACTGCTGATTCTGTTTTACCAAAGCATTAAATCATTTGTAACTATTGGATGATGGCATGGGATCATTCAATTTATAAATGAATAACACACCATATAGTACATAATGTCCAGGCAAACAGTTTATTTTTTTTAAACTTTAGTTTTTTATTAGTATACAGTGGTACCTCGGTTCACGAACTCTTCTGTACGCGAACAATTCGGTTCACGAACAGGAAGTTCGGCAAAATTTTGCTTTCGTTCGCGAACTCCGCATCGGGGGTGACGAACACAACCGCAGCCATCTTCCCCGCTCTGACACATGGTCGTGGCTTTCTCTAGTCGAGATCGCTGTCTGATCGGTTCGCGACCAGAATTGTGGAACAAATTAAGTTCGTGAACCGAGGTACCACTGTGTATCAAAAATAAACAGAAACATTGTCATTGCCAGGCAAACAGTTTAACAGGTAAAATACATATAACTAACTAGCTGCCAAGGCTTTGTAATTCTGCACCCCCACAATTCTGTACAACATACCCTGCTCCTGGACCTCTCTGCAGACTATACTGTATCTCAGAAATACAGCCTGGTATTACATACAATGAAATGCAGAAAGCTGATGAGATCATCATTCTGCTTTGCCTCCTCCTAGGAAGATCTCCTGAAACTGAAATTAGGGTATGCTGATGTAGCCTCTCAAACAATATTAACTCATGATAATATTGCTTAAAGTCCACCTTAAGATGCTCTATGTTTTACTGTAGCTTGATGAATCAGGACCATAGTGGGATTATCTAAATAATTTGCACACCTGTGCTTCCACAAAGAATTGTGGAAAATATGCACTATGGTTCCTAAGCACCAGGGCTGAGAAATACACTATGCACATCCATCACTTTGACAGGAAAAACAAATGCTTACTTCGTTCTAAGAATCAGTGTAGAACATTAGTGTTTCTCTTACCACAGGAATGGGATAAGTGACAGCTAATTTTACTATTTTTACAGTGCAAAGGAAAACATTTGCTACACACTTTAGGTCCCACTATGCGCTATCTTCTTGGCATACAGCAGCATTGTTCTGCAATAGAGATGCCTAACCAAGTGTAAGTGAAGTCTCCTATATAATAAAGTATAACGCTAAATTGAACAGCGAGATATAGTTTAAAATAAAGAGCTCCAAATCACAGTCAGTAAATACTTTTACCTTTTTCCTTGCAATGGGAGAGCAGTTAATATCAAGGCCAGTACCTTACAAATGTTGAAACTGTGTCTAACTCCGCTATAAGCCAACAGCCCAGACTCCATGGAGCAGGAAAATACCTATGTCAAAGGTAACCAAACTGCGCCCCCCCCCCACCCCCTCCAAATGTAATGAAACAACAAAACTCATAATGCCATCTGCCTGTGCTCTCTGATTCCTGAAATGCATTATGGGACGTGTTGTTCCTCAACAGATGGAGGAACGAAGTTTGGTTACCCCGATCTATATTATTTATGGCAGTGGATCTCTTTCTCTTGATTCATACCTACTCATCTACTATATGACATATAACTAGCAGAAGCAGTCACAAAGAGGAGTATACATCTAAGTTGTTATATATGTTTCCTGTTAAAGCTGAACTCCAGCCTTACCTTCAGTCTTGCACCATTGTAGGGGCTCCTCTCTTGAAATGTATTATTATATACAGTATGATCACAAATAATGTTAGCCATCAAGTCAAAATAGAAAAAAAAAAATTTCCCATCCCATCAAATATTATCACCATCAATGCCTCTACATGAGGTTTGTGACATACTATGACAAAATGTAATAATTTATTCTGAGACATCTGCTTCATTTTTAAAACTACATGGCTAGAGGTACCAGTTAGGAATGAGTGAAATCGAAACTTTTCATTTCCCTGAAAGTTTGGTGAAATTACTGCAATGCTTTGGTGTCAAATGGGAAGGCCGAAGTAAGATTTTTTTTTTTTTAAGGACGCAATGAGCTTTCAATGGCCAAAGACAATTACAGGCAGTCCCTGAGTTACATACATCCGACTCCTACTTACAAACGGAGGCTATTACTGTACAGCAGGGTAGTTGTAATGCTACCACACTCGTGCAGATAAGGAGTGCCCGCCTTTTTGGGTCTGGTTAGTAGTACTGTACATACATTACAGGAAGTTGGCTCTTGTTAGAGGGGTACCCACCTCTTCTTCCGGGTCACTGAGGTTTTCACTGCTGTCTGTATCCTCATTAGAAAGATTTAATCTCACCTCCTGTCCTTGAGACAACAGGAAGTGAAAAGAAATCTACCCCTAGGAAAAGAAATTCACTCCTGTAAGAGTGATCATGGCAAAAAGGTGTCTCCACTGAAGCTTTATCACCAGTCCTTGTTTCCACGACAACCCAAAATTTTCAAAATCCAACTGTCCCAGGGACAGAAAGTGAGGTGAAATCTTCTGAACAGGGGCACACACAGCAAAACAAACTTTACAGGAGGTTAACCCTTCCCTATGCTATCCAAATCAACAAAATATATTTTTGGCTGGAGTTACACTTAAAAAATTTACCTGTTCCAACTTACATACAAATTCAACTTAAGAACAAATCTACAGTCCCTATCTTGTTTGTAATCCGGGGACTGCCTGTATAGAAGCTCCTTTCAACTATCCTGAACCTGCTTGTGATGAAAAAATAGCTCCTTGCTAGCCTCATAATTTCAACTAAAACATTTAACGTGACAATACACAAATATGTTCAAATATACAAACTACAGTATTCAAATATACAAAAAAATAGAACCCCCCTAAAATAAACTACCCTAAATACAACACCAAAAAAGAAAGTAAGAGTAAATGTTTTTTTAATTTTTTTTTCTTCGTTCAAGAAACACAGTAGTGCCTTCTTAAAACGGAAGGTATTTGTATCTCAATTCCATCACAGATCCAGAAAATTTCAAGCAAATTTTAAGCAAGTTCCTACTTTGGTAAAATTTTGCCTATAGTGAAATACCGTGTTTCCCCGAAAGTAAGACCTAGCGCTATCTTCGGGGATGTCTGTAATATAAGACCTACCCCGAAAATAAGACCTAGTTCGGGGTAGGTCTTATATTACAGACATCCCCAAAGATAGCGCTAGATCTTACTTCCGGGGTAGCTGTGAAGACCGGCCGCAGCTCCCTCCCGCCCCCTCGCCCGTCCACCTACCCGCACGCTGTTGCTCTCTGGATGACGACATCAGAGCGGAGAGGCAGCTCCCTCCCGCCCCCTACCCGACACGCCCCCCCTCCAGCAGCACGCATGCCCGCCCCCTCGTCTCCTTAGTTCCGAGCGGAGAGGCAGCTCCCTCCCGCCCCCCTGCCAGACACGCCCCCCCGGCCGCACGCATGCCCGCCCACCTGTTTGTGGCTCCCTGGACGGCAGAGCACAGCTGCAGCCAGGTAAGACATCCCCCGAAAATAAGACCTAGTGTCTTATTTCGTGCAAAAAAAAAAATAAGACACTGTCTTATTTTCGGGGAAACACGGTAGTTAATTTTGCAGCAAAATTAATTTGCAGAGTTATTACCTAGCACCAGTTCTATTTCTTTGCATGAGTCTCAAAGACCAACCTGTTATTCCGTGCCTTTGTGATGGTTTTGGCCCAATATCAGTTTTCAGGGAGTCCATATGGATTTCTGATTTCTTCTTAAACCATCCAAGAGATCTCCTCTTATCTGCCAAGCACTTCATGTCTGGTCTGTCAGCATAGCCAAAAAGAAATACACTGCAGCCTGGCACAAGTATGACCAGTTCTTTGGCAATACCTAAATAATGTTTAGCGTAAAAATAAAGAGATTGATAGGATATCACGGAGCACAATGCCATTTAAACATTTGCGGGCTTCATGCATTAAGGCATGCATGAATGGCACCCCAATGCACCTTCTGGTGGGTGTGCATTGCACCTTACTGCAATTATGTGCCTTGCAATGCCATGCGGTGATGCATTCATCACTTTTTTCACTGCACTGCAAGCTATTGCCCACAGGAGGTGTGTTGGGGTTCCATTAAGAAAATTATTGAAATATCAGCACACCTAGCGTGAGGTGCAATGTTCTGTGCTAAAGCAGGTGGTAAACGCACAGATACCATGCCTCGAGCACAATGCTGTGGTGTGAACAGGCCCTGGAAATTTTGGTTCTCTTAAAACAGCCCATGCATTTCTGAGTAGCTTTGGCTCTATGCCACTAATCTTCACTAGGCGTTTAGAGCTAGTAAGTGGTAACTACCAGTGCTGATTAATGTACGCCGCCTTGTGTTATGTCTAAGTTAATCCTCTATGTAATTGCTGCTATGAAGCACTTTCAAGATCACAAACGCACTAATAAGCTGCAAGGAGAAGTACAATAGTGACATCTTGTGGCCTATTGCCTTATACAGTATATATTTTATATATTATGGAAATAATAGATACAAATATGGATGGATTTTATTAACAAAAAACTGTATATGTTACAGATATTTTAAATGCATAGGCTGGCAAGCCTCTGATTAAAACAGTGGCATACCAGAAAGTAAATATGTAACTCATAACAGATTAGAAAGCATTGCCTGAAGGATAAACAAATGTTTGCTATGGAAATTAATTTATAACACAATATAATCATTTTAAGTACATCTATAACACAGTGCTTTAAAGTGTGTGCCCCTGTTCCTATGGAAGTGCACAACATTATTTAACGGTTTCATAGTTCATGTTCTCAACAAATTTCCAATAGCCACAAAAGTGGCCAAATTGAAGAAGAATCTGGCCAGCTGACTCTCACTCAAGACCCAGGATCCCATCATAATATAACTGATGTAGTTTCTCAATATGATATATTAGGACGTACCTGTTGCAATATCACCACATTGCTCCAGTGTTATACCTAATAGAGGATAGATGGGTGCTAGGTCAATGGCACCAAGACACGGATGTATTCCATCATGCACAGATAAGTTGATGGATGAAAGGCCTGCCACGCAAGCAGACACCACAGATTTACCTGCATGAATAAAAATTCAAAAAAAAAAATCAAAGATTCATCAACAAGTGTCCACTTTAGGAGAAATACTATTATTTGTAAGTACGTCTCAAGAAAAATGGCTGACTCACATGTATTCTGTTAAATGAAATAAATACACAAGGTTTTTGCGCTCTTGTTTTTTTATAAGTGGCACCAGAGGACAGAAAAGAGGGGTAATGTATGCACTTACAAAAGACCGGAAAATGCCAGCATATGTATCAGCTGAGGGGGTCCGACACAAAACCTCACTGGTGAAATGGAAGAAACTTTGATTTAACTGGGACAATCATCAGTTCAGGAGCTAGGAGTAAACAGCACTCTAAGTTTGAAATGTAAAACAGAGAAGCAAAAAATAAAAAAGTAAAAAGATTTTATTAAAAATAAAAGCATAAAATGCACTCACAGCAGTGATGGGTATAGATGTCCTTGAAGCATGGAAGGTACACTGGTTGTCCTTAACCCAGTCTTGACCAGCAGGTGCAAGGAGCGGTACTGTATGTCAGCAATGTTGGTGAGATATACTGGCGGAGTAGTACTGCCGATGTGCTGAGTGGACTTCCTCAATCAGTGTAAAGCAGAGTGGAGTCAGTCAGTATTCTGCAGAGTCATTGGTGGTGTGGCTCCCCACAGCTGTGAGGAATTTTGTCCAACATCCTGAACTAATGATTGTCCCGGTGAAATCGAAGACTGTTCCACTTCACCATTGATGTTTTGTGTCGGACGCCCACAGCTGATACATATGCTGGCATTTTCCGGTCTTTTATGAGTGCATACATTACCCCTCTTTTCTGTCCTCTGGTGTCACTTGGATAACGCACTTATGAATTTAGGGAAACCACTTGAAACATTTGTTGCATTGACCTATTTCAATTGCCTTTCTATGATTTAATTGTAAACAACTGAAAGTTTGTAATTTTTTCCAATAAGCCTGATTTGCAAAGGGGGTTAAACTGTGGACATACTTACATTGGACAGAATCAAACACCGCGCCAGCAGATTTTGGTTCAAGAGAGTATTAATTAATGATGTTCAGGAGTGCAGGGCGATAATACTTACATTGGGCCAAACTGGACCAATGCAAGTATGCATAATAACTTATTCCTGGAGTTCTGCTTTAAGACTTCTGCTGTGGGGAGAAGCTATCTAAATGCACTAATGCAGGGCATTGTGTCCTGCAAAGACATCTGCATCTGTTGGAGCATTTCCTCTCTATCACAGAGAAGCTCAATTAGCCACAGTCATTTCGGTTACTATACTTGTGGCACTTGTCCTACGTGCTCTAAAATGATTTATGGGACAGTCTTGCCTATTAAAGCGGACCTTTACCCCCTTCCACTAAAAATCACATCAGCATGCAGCTCTGCATGGTGATTTAGGGTCATCTTACATTCATTAGTTAAACAAACTTGCTTTTCATTTACTTACAAATAGAGTTCATCTACTTCCTTGTCCAGTTCTGGCACAAATGATCTAATGTGCCAAAGTGTTGAATCTTAGGAAAGTTACATCAGCAGAACATTTCTGGGAAATCTCATCTGTAATCTCATGAGATCTCAGGGAAAGGCATTTCCCTCCCCTGAGATGATGTGCATGGTCACATGTCCCAGTTACATGTGCCAGAGTAGTACATGTACAGGAAGTAAAGGAAAATCTAGTAATCTGCCCTTAGCAAAAATGACCACTGCCAGAAGACTGCCGAAGAAAAGAAAAACAAGGTATGCAAAGAATAAAAAGCCGGCAATTATCTATACGTATGTGTTTGTAGATTGTCATTACTAAACATTTCTAAAGGTGTGTTTGTTGTTATTTTAAAGATATGGGTAAAGTTCCCCTTTATGCAGTGGCCTGATTTCCAGTCATAGGGTGTCTCCTTTACCTTGTGGGGTCCTATGGAGACCCACTAGAGCCACCCTTGCATGCACGCTGCTGGAATCAGGACTACAACATGACATACATATGCTGCCTTTGCCAATACATACAGGCAGGTCAAAAGACGGCAATTATCTAGAGTATGTGTTTGTAGATTACAATTATTAAACATTTCTAAAGGTATGTTTGCTGTTTTTTTAAAGATATGGTTAAAGGTCCGCTTTAAAATGTCACTTCACCCAAAAGTGAAATTTCCAGGATTTGGTAGATGCTGGGGAGATAGACCACAAAATGCTTTCTTATATCTGCCAGTGAATGCCTTGTTGAGATGTCAGCAGTCTGTGTCCCATTCTGCACACCTACTGGGGCCATTACAAAAGGGACTTAACGCTCCTAGTTGGAAATCTTGGAAAACACCCAAAAGTCTCAGGGGGTGAACAGAGCCAAACTCTTGCAGGAAAATCTCACCACTGGAGTCCACAAAAAAATAGCTAGAAGGTAACTCATTCCTCCCAGCTCCACCTACACATGAAATATCCCCTTGGGCAGACTAGCCCTTTACTTACTCTTAGAATAATAAAACAGATTAACTAGACAAAGTAGGTTAATAAAAACATACTTTCTAATTGGCTGCAAATTTAACAATAACTTTGTTATATTTTTGGAACAAGTAGTTCAGCTTTAACATTCTTTTAAGCTTTTAATATTTTAATTATTAATAATGCCAACACATTAGAAGATTAATTGTGCCTCATTTATTTTACACTGCTGTTGTTTTCTAAACTACTTTTTTTTTACAGCGTGTTGTCTGAAGATTGGAGTCAGCTGGTACCTAGTTTTCAACCAACATACACACACTCAAACCCATACCTATAGAAATTAAAATAAAGATACATTTTTGAAGCTTCTGCCACAGCCAGCTACCATAGGCTAATGCAGTCTAATCCAAAACTCTTCAAAAGATGATTAGAGGCAGGGCCGTGCCTGTAGGCATGAATGGAAATCTGTTTAGCCAAGGTTGGCTCCCCTACCTGCGTTGGAACCCGGCAGCTTTCACATATGCGGAGAAGAACCCCAGTGTTGGGTAAGGCTGCCCTAAACACCTGTCCGCATCAGACAGGCATTTTACAGGGCAGCCTTACGCAGGGCCCGGAGTCCTTCCCCTGCAGAAGCCGGCGGTTCCTGTAGGCGTCGCTGGTTTTGGAGCAGGTGGGTGCATTTTGTGCAGGATGCACCATCTTGCTATTGCTGGTTTTGTATCTTGACAATACTGAGAAATAGGCAGAGTAGATACCTGTATTGAACCCTACACGGAGGGCGCCTGTAGGCACTTGCCTACTCTGGGTAACGGTAACTCCGGCCCTGATTAGAGGACCTGTAACCTTTTGTTGAATACCTCTATTTCCCAGATTTTGTCTCAGGGTCAAACGTGGGTCACCATTGCCCCTTGCTGGGGGTGACTGAGCTACTATGCTTTATCATCTTATGGCGGGGCCCCCTGTTTTTGTGTAAGGTTTACTGGAAGTGTGACTTTTTATGGAAATTAATGCAGAAGTTGTGACTGTTCAGTAGGTTTCGTTAATTAGTAATGAAATTTGAACTCTGGACAAAACCATTTTTTAAATATTTGTACAGTAAATAAATTAACAATGATGGAGTGTGCCCATTCCTGGCCACTGCAGCATCCTGCCAGTGTTAAATGTCCAGTGCTGAGATATTAGATTCTGGGTACAATATGCTCAGTACAGTGAGTGTCTCTTTCCTTTTCAATGAATGCAAAGTATTCTGTGGTTGGGGAAGGTGTGGATGAACATCATGATCCCCCCTCCTCCAATTATGGAAAGCCTTGCAGTCATTAAAAAGAATGCAAGGCTTTTTCTGAATGGAGGACCGGGTAAAATGTACGACTAACTGTATTGACTGTACAACCAGAACTTGTTATCTCAGCACCAGGAGCTTGGCGCTGACAGGACAGTACGGCTAAAGGCTAAAATAAGGAATGCTGCAGCGGCCAGCGATGGTGCACACGTCATCATTGGTAATTCACTTTTAATGTGCAAAAGTATATAAAACTACCCAGAATTAGGCATTAACCAACTGTAGGTTCTTTGTTGGCACTTGTGCACCTGTGTTTGTGCACTAGTCGCAGAAAATCACAGGGGGGCCAAAAGGCAGATGCCAATATCCTAATGCTGCCCAAGTCTTAATACCACAACAGGAAAGTCAGGAAACCACCAGCACTCAGTAGTAAAGATAACTTTGATACTGAGTGCTGGTGATTTCCTAACTTTCCTGTGTTTGCACGGCGCCATCCGTGGTAATTCATCACTGCGAGCACCACTTTTTCTTATCTGGCCTGGGACTGCTGTGAGGAGTGCGGAGGGTCTCTCCATCTACTTACATTAATACCACCACACACATTACAATAGGATTGTTCTTACCAACATCTATATAGTATCTGATTTGATACAGATTGATTGTATAGTTTAGGTAGGTCCTCAGATTGTAACATGTATAGTGAGCTTTATACTATAGCTGCAGGTTGGCAGCTTTGCTGTATTGTTATACTAATACATTTAATTGTTTTTTTAAAATATCATATTTGTTTTAGTGTTTGTCAGATGATTGTCACTGCAATACAAACAGTATATAAAACAATTCATATATACTGTATATATATATTATATTATTATTTATTAAACTAATAAATGAGAATACAATTCCTGTTACTGTTGGGGTTACACCAAAATGTAAAAAAATACATGTACAAATCCATGTGTCCAAGTAAAGCATTAAACGTTTTATGGGCTTTTCATTTCCCCAGCAAATGAAGTAATTTAATTAACAGCTTTTTCTTAATTCCCTTGGGATCGGTTTTTCACTTACTCAGCTAAAATAATGTTCACAAATGAGGTTCCCGGATCTTGAAACAACAGCAAGAATATTTATTAAATCATGGGATGTCATACAGCACTTTATGGCCTATTCATTACATCCTGTGACTTCTTGCTCAGCACAACTCAATGCACAATGGCCCCAGGGATTCGGGACGTGTAGCAGCACACATGCCAAGTCATTTCCCCCAAACAAAATAATAGAATGAAACAAAAAGGATGGCTTATAATTGGAGACATGTTGGATGTTCATCAAATAGACATTTTTTATGGCCACACCCATATTTCACATCCGTAAGTGTTTGTAAACAGAATACTATTCAAAATGTTCTAGTCTACAGCCACAGTCACACTTGACTACTCTCCAATCATGCTTCTCCTGTATGGGGACTTTGTTCCCAGTCTACACTTTAAACACGTGTGTTTAAAGTGTTTAAGTTGAAGCAGATGAATTTAAAAAGGAACATGTAGCACTTTGGTGAGCTCACTATAAGCAGAAAGTAGTCATGCAAACTGGATCCCCATGGCTATCACGTAAATTATGTTTTTAATGACTTATTGTCATATGTGATGCAACCATACATACTTACAACCTAAAACGCGTGTGCTAGGAAAACCATCTGGACCATACATATTCACTAGATGGTACATACCACACAAACTGTTAATGGGAATTTCACCCTATAAAATGGCCGGTCCACCCAAAATTGGTATCGCACATTTAGCAGAAGTGGAGAGTAAAACCAACAGTTTTGTATAACTGTGGGTTACTCTATTGATGATACCAATTTAGAAAACCAAAAAAATGTGGATGTGCCTTCAAATGAATGAGATCTGGGTAAGACTTCTTTCTGTTCCAGAATGGCTGTTTTGCTGCTGCTCCAGGCGTGGAAGAACTGGAGTGGCCCGCACTGAGCCCTGATATTAACCTTATTGAACACCTTTTGGATTAATTAGAAAGCCAATTAAAAGTCACAACTTGGTAACTTACCTATGACAAGTACTTCTAAAAGATTAAACATGTTATGACATTCTTTAAACTAATAGCTAATGGCTTTCTCCGATACTGAAGAGCGCCAGCCTATGATCTATATCTGTTCAGCTGGGAAGGAAAATTGGGCCTCATTCACACTGCCGTACAATAAGCTGCATATAGATGAAATCAGCATATTTTCCCATATGCAAATAAGTGGCTCCATACACATAGCTGCGTATGGAGCCGTGTATTAAAGATGCGCAAAAAAAAATTGGACCAAAGATGCGTCCAGGCTCCATATTTTTCCCGTGTCCGTGCATATACGCGTGTGTGTGCGCGTACATTAAAATTTCTATTAAGAATGATGAATTCTGGGATTGCATATACGCAATATACAATTTTGCTCTTGCATTGTGTGTGCATGAGGCCTTACACTAGATCATAATGATGCAGTGCTAGAGAGGAGATCCTTCATCCTGCCAATAATTTTGAAATTAGTTTTTAAAATGAGTATCTGCATTATCATCTGCAGGTTAAAGTAAAATAATAAAATAAAATGCACATTTTGCACTAGAGCCAAAGAAACCACATAGGACTGTGATAGGAAAATGTTGTAGTTATTTGTTATATTGATTAATGATATGATGAAATAAAATACATTGATCATACTTACCTATTTGTTCTCTGGCAGAAGCAATGGTGATCACTGACCTGTTGTAATCATAATTGGAGAACACATTCAGAACAGATGTATCTGGATATTTCTGACCTGCCAAAAGAAAATAAATTACTTTTCTCCTTGTAAAAAATTGAGACAATGAATGTTAATTTTGTGTGCTGTCTTTAGTCAGTGGATGACTTTAAATTATTTAGTTAATGTGTAGTGCAAATGAACAGAACACTGAAAGTCCATCATTGCTGTATAAATTGAGCTAAACTAAGTACATGAAGTACATGAAGAATAACAGTAGCCAATCAAATATAAAGGAATGAACACCAAAACCACTAGACAACAGCAATTTTCCCAAAACTGAAAACTATCAAAATCTATTGTAGTTTGTAAAGTAAGACCATGAGGACTTGTGCAGTTTTATTGTGGTATGCAAAGCATGAAATGAAACCTGTCCAGAGAGAAATATGAAGCTTGCCACTGCTGACCTCTACCTGTGTCTGGCTGTCATGTTCTGGCTTCAGTCTTTCTGAGTCACTGATCTGGAACAAGTACAGATAAAGAATTCTTACTTTTCTCCAGTTTTCCTTTGCGTCGTGCTTGTTGCTGTCATGGTTTCTTACCTTTCCTCGTCCAGTTGAGTTGCAGCATGGCTTGTGGGCAGTGTGTCTGACACTATTCATTCTTCTTTGCCAGCCTCTTATGGCCAAACCCCTAAACATCATCATTCCGCAACTATAGCAAACTCCTAACAAATGTCTGTCTCCGAGTGATGATGCAACACCAGTTCACTATTTAACCATCAGCTGGTCCATTTAGTCTCCACCCTTGTGTGTGCTCAGATCTACCAAGTGCTCTGCTGCTGTACGCTGCTGTACCTATTCTCCATGTATGACCCTGGCTCTGGCTGACTTATCTCCTGGTTCCTGGCTATTGTTTATGTTCATTCTGCTCTCAGTGTTCCCTGACATGGTTCGGCTGGCTACCCATTTTGGCATCTGACCCCTGGCTTGGCATAGATGACGTCTTAAACTTTGTGGATTGTTTTTTGTCGTTTTGGTTTATTGCTTTTTTTCTATAAACTCTTTTTTTTTTAACCTGCACTCAAGTTTCTGTTTGGTTTCTTGGTTCCTTAACAGTTGCAGGTGACTGAGGAAGTAAAACTGGACAAAGCTGGGCAACTAGCATTTTCAGGAGGCGGCCACTAGTGGCAGTCCCATAATCTCAATGGCAGGTTTACCAGTATTTTTTTGTTCTTTTTTTTTAACTGTCATATTCCTGCCGATGCTGCTCTCTAGAAAGCACTATAGCCAAAAAAGTCATGCATGCACCATTTTCTCTACGTTCTATTTGGCTATGAAGAGCCACATGCAAATTAGGGTGACACTATAATAATATACCGAAAAGACTTCTGATGAAAATGTTGTACTTATACCATCATTAAAAGCAAATTGCTCATAAAGTAAACATTACTTATATCACATACATTACATGTACAGACTGTATATTATGCTTATTTTGTGCAAAACTCTAAAGTTATACACCTTAATATGGTCTAAATTCATGTAATTTAACCTGCCAATGTTGAAATGTTGATTGATCATCTTGTCAATGAAAAGACAAATGGCTGGGCTTCAGCTGGCAAACAGGGATACCATAATTAGAAGATGCAGTCATATACAACCTATCAGCCATAACATTATGATCGGACTTATTTTTGCAGGACATTTCTCAGATGTTCATTTGGATTGAGATCTGGAGAATTGGGAGACCAAGTCAACACCTCAACTTGTTGTGTTTCTAAAACCATTCTTGAACCATTTTTGCAGCGTGGCAGGACACATTATCCTGCTGAAAGAGACCACTGCCAACAGGGAATACTGTTTTCATGAAGAGGTGTACTTGGTTTACAATGTTTAAGTAGGTGGTATGTGTCAAAGTAACATGAATAGCAGGACCCAAGATTTCCCAGTAGAATATTGTCCAATACCACACAGTGCCTCCACCAGCTTGCTTTCTTCCCATAGTGTATCCTGGTGCCATTTCTTCCCCAGGTAAGCGACACAAACACGTGGTCATCCACATCATGTAAAGAAAAATGTGATTCAGACATTCAGGCCACCTTCTTCCATTGCTTCGTGGTCCAGTTCTGATGCTTACGTGCCCATCAGAGACATGGGTCAGCAGGGGCACCCTGACCGTTCTGCAGCTTCAATGCCCGATACGCAACAAACAGCAATGCAATGTGTGTTCAGACAGATTTTCAGATTTTTTAAATTTAAATCGGATTTTTTTTATTTTTAAATCAAATTTAATAAATTTTAACAAAAATAATAAAATGCTTTTGGAGTAAAAATCTATCTAAAGATAGTTTTCATTTAAGATACATTCATAATTTTGTTTATTCAGCATGAAATGGAGCTTAGTTATGTAACATGAGCCTGTATATTCTGCAATATTAAAATTTTTGGTAAAACTCATTCAATGAATCCAAGCTCTGCAAGCTGAGATAACATGCACTGCATTGATGTATTCACACAATTTCACAGTAAGTAACCATGAGATAAATCATAAAACAAAGTTCAGGAATATTCCTTTATCCCATTGTTTTGCAAATCTACTCACCTGCTGCCCGCGACGTCCCTCACCTTGTTGCGTCACTGCCGCATCACCAGCTCTCCCATTAAAGTGAATGGGACTGTCGGTGAGTAAACAGCGGGTCAGAGGAGGAGCCACTGCGGGACAGAGATGACAATTGCTCTTTAAAAATTCTGATTTAAATCAAGTTGATTTAAATCAAGCCTTTTTACTAGTGATTTAAATAGACTTGATTTAAATAAAATCCACCCTGGATGGAGCTGTGTTTTGCGATTTGGTGATAGGCCTGTCTTTGAACAGTTGAGCATGCTGGAGCTAACAATGGACTCCCTTGATAACATCTTGTTGAGTGCAACTATAATTATTTACTACCCAAGGATGCCTGTACCCTAGTATTCACCATGGAATGTTCCAGTAAACCTAACCACATACTTTAGCAATTCAAGCAAGATCTGACCGCCTAAAGATCTTTCTGACTAAAAACTGTGGTACAAATATGCTGATTTGTCTTAACTGCTTAGATAGATCCCCTCTGCCGGCAATAACAAAAGTGATCATCCAGGAAAAATACACCCAGAAAATCTACCTTTTGTTTTGAATTCAATACTTCTTAGCTGTATAACTTCAGTGTAAGATCATTACTTCCTTTAACAAGTCTCACAAGACTTGCTGAAATCACTACTGTGCTAATCACAGTTCTCCTGAGAAATTATTGGAAAGAAAGCCGTGCCTAAGGACCTGCAGTGCAAAGATTTCCCTGCTTCTTCTTCAAACATTCTGTGGATCTGTGCTTTCCTCACCTCTCCTATACCAGCATTGCTACTTCCACACACACAGACACATTGTGGTTTAAGACATGTTTAGTAATGAGGAAAAGATCAGCTACAGGCAGTCCACAGGCAATAATGATGACTAGCCCTGTGCATCCTGCTTGCCTTTTCCACTGAACACATTCCTTTTCACTGATTACAAAGTATATGTGCACTAGGCCAGGGGTCAGTGTGTAAGTTGACAGCAGGCATCAAACCCCTGATGAATACATTGATGGGCATAGACTATGTTTGGGGGGTAAATATATGAGGCTTCAGAGTCTGACATTGTGCAAGTAGTTATATAGGGAAAAGCTTCCTCTTTACCTCTACCACCTATAGACACATGCCTACTGTGGCTAATGTTAAATCCAGCCCTAAACACAATCATACACTTGTGGAAGAGGTAAGTCAATTAGCTATTTCAGCATTTCGGCAGACAAGTTGTATGGTAGCTATAAGCAATTTAAAGCACAGCTACACCCAAAAACAAAAATTTACTTTTTTCAGGGCTTATTTCCTTCCTTTTCATCTGGTGATCCTGCCAGTAACACATTTCCTATCTTAGGGTGACGACACCCACTCACCATACTGTATCTATGTAGGCGCAGCCTTGTCACCCTAGTCTGATGATCTGATTTTAACTAAAAATACCTCCCCCCTCCTGATCTCACACACACAGAGGGGAAGTATTCACTGCATAGGAAGTTATGAGGACATAGTATTTCTGACAGTATAAACAGGTATTTTTCTGTATTTGCATAAAATGTTCTTAGCCTGGAGAGAGGAGAAGATTTTGGAGTTAAGTTCTGCATTAAAGATATGGAAGATATAAAGATACAGTATGTATGATTTTGTAATAAGCTTATATTTATTCTTTAGTAAAAGGTAGAACATTTACATTTTAATCACAGTTTCACCTCACTTCTATCAATAACTGTAAAATAATTTCACATTCTAATAAAATAAAAATAAATTTCAATGCCCAACAAATAACACACCATGAGTGCATTATTTTTCAAGGCAATTTGGGGTAAAAACACTTCCTGACAAATTGTTAAAGCTCCATCCAGGAAAAAGACCAAGAACACTAACAAATGCAGGCAAAATGTGCTGTCAGCGTGATCCTCTGCAGAAGTAAATTGTTTTGTCTGCGTAATGGAGTATAATAGCTGTAATTTCACTTGAACTGCAGCCACTAATAAGACTAAGAAGTGTTCCACTAAGGCCCGGGGTATCCCAGCAGAACAAGGCTGGCAGATTGCAGGGTGCAATCGCTTAATCACCAGGCTGATAACCTAATCCTATAAAACAACTGAGGAGCCAAGGAAATAAAAGATTGGCCTCCACTGATTTGCCAGCCAGTGAAGTTGTGTTAAGTAAACGGAAAAGTGTAATGAATACTATGGCAAGTTGTTCAGATGCAGAAACATGTGTCACTGCCAACCAGTTCCAAGTATGGGTTTTGCAGTATGGTTAGTTGGTTATTTGAGTAAAATGTGTAACTGCGGCTAGATTCACAATTTTATAAACAGAGATTTGAAGTGAATTTATAGTCTCCCCAAATCTATTATATCATATTTTTTTCAAGTATTTTTCTTTATAAGGAATGATCAAATAGACCTGGGTTTGACTGTACGGTTGTTCTGGAAATTGTGAACGTTAGGTCAATGGGGGGGGGGGGGGG